AGGAACCAGGGTGGGGGATTGATTAAGTATTTGACAAGGGGCAATCCCTTCAGGTCCCCTCCCTCCTTAGGAGCTTTGTACCATCACTTTTGCTATTGCTCAATAAATTGCTCAATAAACCTTGCTTTGCTGCCCCCCAACAAAAAAATTCACATGAAGAATATACTTACAACTAGAAGACAAGGAATCAACAAAAAACATAAGAATAGTGCCAGGCAAAAGTGAAGAGGACCAGATCAGGAATATCAAGTTAGAAAGGTACAAAGAACGTAAGTATAGAAACACTATTGTGGGGCGCCTGGGTGGGTCAGTTGGTTAAGCGACTGCCTTCGGCTCAGGTCATGATCCTGGAGTCCCTGGATCGAGTCCCGCATCGGGCTCCCTGCTCGGCAGGGAGTCTGCTTCTCCCTCTGACCCTCCCCCTTCTTGTGTACTCTCTCTCTCTCATTCTCTCTCTTTCAAATAAATAAATAAAATCTTAAAAAAAAAAAAAAGAAACACTATTGTGGTAAAGCAAACCTATGTGACTTCAAAGACTAGATTTATTTCAACAATGAAATACTTCATAAGTAAAAATAAGTAGCAGATTCATGTATTTTGCCATAGTTATGTCACTGCCCTCAACTGGCGTATAGGAATATAGCTATAAAGGTACATAGGAATAAAACTGACTTTTATGTACTGAACTTGTATGCCACAAACCTTGCTACATTTACTAGTTCATAACTGACGTAAACTGCACATACTATATTATACAATTTGATAAGCTGTCTTCTGTATCACCAGTGAAACCATTATCACAAACCAGAAAAACAACATACTCATCATACTGAAAAGTTTCCTCATACTCCTTGTATGAACCTTCCAAAATCTCTCCCTTCTACCATCGCCAATGACTTGTATTTTCTCGTATTTTAAGTAAATGGAAAAGAGCTCTAATTTGGTAAATGCATGGTAGAATACCATTTGGTCAAGTTAAGTCGTGTCTGAAACAATCATTCAAAAGAATACTGGAG